CATATCCAACCAACCTCGGGGAAACGAAGCAAACTTTTCGACCTTGAAAGGTCGATCGTTGAAAAGCTTGGGTCTCAAGTATGTTATAACCAGCATGTTCAGTTGAGCGCGCCTGATTTTGTTTCAGCCACACCGATTTGGTCTTTGTAAACTATCTGTCAAAAGAGGCTCCCGCGTCAAGTTCTTCCACCCAGCCCAGTGGCGATGCTGTTCCCGCAACGACGCGTATATGGGAGACTGTGAAAGAAGACCCGGTGGACGTCTATTGGCGGTCCCAAGACGGGAAAATTCCCCGCAGTCGGGACGCGCGGTTCTGCACTCACGCCACCAACGGAATGTGCGACTACTGCATGCCTCTTGAACCGTACAACGCTCTTTACCACAAGGAGCATGCAATCAAGCATCTCTCCTACCACGCGTATTTGAAGCAAATTTCTCCAAAGTCGTCTTCGTCCGCCACGTCCACATCCTCTCTCCCTCCGCTCACCCCGCTTTCCTACAAGGTGAAGGTGCCATGTCCCAGCGGGCATCCGTCTTGGCCTTCCGGCATCTGCACCTCTTGTCAACCCTCCGCTATAACCCTGCAATCGCAGCCTTTCCGAATGGTTGACCACCTCGAGATTGCCTCGACCGACGTGATCGATCGCTTCCTGCATGCTTGGCGGTCCACTGGTTTCCAACGGTTCGGCTGGTTGATTGGGCGGTACCAACCGTACGACAAAGTGCCAATGGGAGTCAAGGCTGTCGTGGAGGCCATATACGAGCCTCCGCAAGAGGGCGAACTCGATGGGCTCACTCTAGGTTTACCATGGGAGGAAGAACCACGGATTCGGGAACTGTCTGCGTCGGCCTCGACGCCTTTAACGGTGGTTGGGTACATTTTCACGGATTTGACGCCAACGGAGGAGGATCGAACAAAAAACGTTTACAAGCGGCATCCTGGCTCCTTTTACATGTCTTCGCTAGAGGCAATTTTTGCAGCGACAATGCAAAAATCCAATCCGACGCCTTCGAGGTCTTCGCCGACAGGCCAATTTGCTTCAAGGCTGGTCACCGCCATTCTCACTGCTACCGAGGATGGGCAGGTAGACATAGCCGCGTATCAGGTTTCTGAACAAGCCTGTGCGATGGTTGAAGCGGACATGATAGAAGCGAGTGTCGACCCGGGAATTGTTCGAGTAAAGGAGGAAGATCGAACGCAGGGCTCGGCAAGATATGTGCCTGACGTTTTCTTCTCTTTCAAGAACGAATACGGGCTTGAAGTAAAAAAGACGGCCAAGCCTGCCTTCCCGGTTGAATATCTTATGGTCAACGTAAGTTTTCGGTCTTGAAGCAAAACCAATCTGATTTTCTTTCGGCAGGTAACCCACGGATTCCCACAAAATCCGTCGCCCTTGTTCCAGTCAGCGAGGTTTGCGATTGAGAATCGACCTGGTTTGGAAGACCAGCGTATAGAAAGGGTAATCAGTTCCCTCGCGGGGTTGGATGCGCCGAATATTGTGGACAGTCGGAGTGCGAAACCCGGCGAGGCGCACAAGCGGAGAGAGCTGGCGGCGTGGTTGAGCGATTGGCATCTTGTCGCTTTCCTTGATACGACGCAGTTGTTTTCTCCTGTGGGTTTACTTTTGCGTCCCACGCAGCAGCAACTGACATATTTCAAAGGAGGACGTGAAGCTGATGATGCGCATAGTAACGTCACCTACGCTGTTGGAGGATCTGAGCCAACTGGACCCGCTGCTGGCCACTGAAGGCTGGAACACGCTGATGACGTTTACGCGGGAGAGTGGATGTACGTTTTTGGTTATCTTGTCAAATTTCTCTTCTCTAATGCTTGCTAGCGTCGCAACCGATGTCCTCCTCGAGGGACGATGACATCCCGCAAGATGTTTTCGACCAAATTGCGGCAGAAGAAGCTGCTGCCCGAGGGAGCGGAGAAGGATCCAGCGCTGGTATTCGAATCTGCCCCCATTGCACATTTGAGAACGCGCATGGCGGTACTGACTGTGAAGTCTGCGGCTTACCGCTGTAATACGCCGAACCTGACTCTGATCGTGTACAAGTTACAATAGAAAACAGCTACAATAGACTGTGACACTACTTATAAAGCGTGTATAAAAAGCCGCTGCGAATGTCTATCGTCTACTGTCCAAATATCCACCAAGTAGCGAACGCGACTCCAAAGAGTATTCCCAGCGCACGAGCCACTATAACCACCACAAGCGCCTTGCGGATTGCGGCATAAAACGTGCTCAACGCAGATCCTGACCAATTTATTCTGATCGGCTGTGAGTACGAGTAGACAAGATTGCAGGCAGAACGAACCGTCGGTCATTTGTACCCCCACCTCTCACGCTGGCCTCCCATCCGCGTACAACCTCTCTGTACCGTTTACCAAACACCCTGGGATACAATAAGCAAGTCGTTTTATGGAAATACGTTGTTGAACGCACCATATCCAGAAATTGACATCAGGGTACGAAAATCGCGGGAACACACTTGCCAGGCTGGGTGCAACGACGTCCATACGGATGCCCTCTGCACCCGTTTGGTACGGAAGCTGCACCATTGGCGAAATCGGTGACGACGATCCAGAGCTGGTCTTGTGGGCCTCGGAGTTGTCGCGCGTCGAGGAAGGTGCCGGTAAGACCATGTACGACATGAGATCCAGAGTCATGCCCAGCGACAGGCCCCACAGTTTTAGCTTCTGTGGCCGGCTGGGCTGTACGATGCCCTTCTCCAAGATGTCGATATTCAGTTTACCGTCTGGTGTTACAGAGGGTGGGGACGAAGGCTGCACTATGATGGCGGGAAACTCCATGCTGCCGACCAATGCCTGAACGAGGAGGCGCAGTGCAGTGGAATGTTTCGGGGCGAGACGAGAAGCGGCGTCTACAGTGACGGTGGACCACCTGGGAGGAGCGTGCGCCGAGACGAGTGACGCCAAGGGTGTCCAGTGCAGGGTAGTCGAGGGCGTGGGTTCTGGAGGTGGTGCATGGGGGGTAACTTGAAGGAAAACAAAAGGCGAGAGAATCATTAAGAGCCGTTTCCCCAACGATGTCGTGATCTCTCTGTCGTCCAGCTGCCCGACGCAAGTATAGTCTTTCTCGGCGAGGTCAATACCAATCTCCTCCCACGTCTGCCGCATGGCTTGGACTGTTGTCAGAAAACAAACTAGAACCGCGGGTAACGAACATACCGGTGTATAGTCCACCTTCATCGTCCGCTTCCGTGCGACCACCCGGAAATGCGACATGCGCCTCGTGCGTATTGCGCATTCTAGACATACCCGAATCTTCTGGGGCGGGATTTTCGCGCTGCAAGAAGAGAATCTCGGGACGAGCCGCTGGGTCATTGACCCAGTCGAGCTCGAAAAAGTCGGAGAGTGTGGGATTTGACGATTCGGCGGGGAGGACTGCATTCGGGGCAGGAACCACGCGAATGATGAGGGATACAGCGGCTCTACGTGGCTCTGGAAATGGCGATAAGTGGGAAAGTCGGAACAGAAGAGAGTAAAGACCGCACGAGTGGGAGGCGACGCAATTATACGCGGGGGTGTGGTGCGTATTCTGTGAAGCGCTTTTGAAAGCAAGGGGACAACGGATATTGGTTTTTCTATGCGGGGGTAAGTACGGCCAAGGAAAGATTGGGGAACACACAGACCAGCCATGATGATGGAAAACGGAAAAACAGACAAGACTCGTCCTCCCCAAACTGCCGGAATTTTTGGGGTGCACGTGCCGCTGCGCGCTTAAACGCCGTCGACCTCCGTCAACATGTTACACAATCGTTCAACTCTCTCTCCGGCTGCCTAGTATGTACTAGCCCCCACAACGTAAGATGGATAGCGCGGACCACACTCTTTGGTTCTTGATTTCAGTCCATTTGAGGGTGTGAAGCTCGTCACACAGCGGCCTCGACGAAGCAAGGCAGTCTGGAAGGGTGTTGTGGGAAAGGTACATCCGCTGCCGGGTGCTGGGAAAGTCTATCTATCGATTCTCGAACGTAGGTCTGGGCCGGGCGGACTTTCTACCGAGCTGACCTTTTCTTTTCTTTTTCAATTGGACCTAACTGGACTGCAAAGTCGCATCCAGCTTAACAAACGGACTCAAGTGGAGGACCCGAGGGATCCCTTCCTCACACTTGGGGCATTTCCCGATTCGTGCACACTACGCCTGCACGTGAATCGCAACCCAAGATGGGAATCTTCTTTCGGTCGAGCTCCACCGACCAACAGAAAAATACCCTTCTACTGTTTGTACTTATGTCTGGAGTCCCTTTTCCGCGTTCAGCCGGGGCCCTTCAAGTCTCTCGGTCTCATTGTCAATCCTCGTTGATCGCAAACATATTCTCCCTCCAGCTCCCTCCCCACCATAACAGTCTTGTTTGCTGTGCTCAGTCTGAGACGTCAACTCCAGCGACAGTCACATTCGCCAACTGTAGAGCACTTTCTTCCTCCCAAGTCGACACTGACTATCCTTTAATGCTCCAAACAAACCCCTCACTACAATCACTATGAGTCTACCTCCTCCCATATTACGCAAAAAAAAATCTGATGACACGACACTTATTGGGCTGTTGAGGACCAGTGGACCACTGGTATGAAATTGTAACTGCAACATGGATGCTGTACTAAAATGTAATTGTACTTGGGTTTCCGAGTCGTCCTCTACATGCTAATAGTTACGACACTCCTGTTCCATGACAAGTTGAGGGATGCCTTTTAGTGATGACTTCATGTGCGGGCACACTTCAAATTCTTGAAACACTGAAACGAAACAACCAAAAAAAAAATGACCAGCCCATTCTCGATGGTGGTGCATTTTTGCCTTCCGAGCCGCTTGTTTGGGGGCGACAGGAAACATTTCACAAGTCCGTTTTTGATGGCTCCTGCGAAATTTGGGAGAAAATTCACAAGTCCACTTTTGATCTCGACTTAGTGCATTTTAACATTTTCCGGCGTTTTTTCCAACATATCTGCACCGCTGGCCTTCTTCCGCAACGGTTGTGTAGTGTAGTGGTTATCACTCGAGATTTTGAAATTACGTAAGCAAAAGCTGTTACGTAATGAATCTTCTCGTAACCCCGGTTCGAACCCGGGCACGACCTTCTTTGCACTCCACCATCGTTTACTCTTTTTCTCAACGCATTTCATATTCCGTCGTTCGAAAACCCCTCCCACCCTTCAACTATGGTGGGAGCTTATCAAACCACTACACTACACAAGTGAATGGCGCGGACAGCCGCCGGAAAATCTTTGAAAAGAGGCTCTGACAATAATTTAACCACTACACTACACAAGTGTATAGCCACCGAACACAACTAAGAACTTATTAAACCACTACACTACAAGTGGATGGCAAACGGACAGCCGCCAAAAGATCTGAAAAGTGGCTCTAACAATTAACCACTACACTACACAAGTGAATGGCAAAAAAAAAAGTACACCCAAAATTCACCCAAAATATCATTTCAGGCGGAGCACAGACTGAGATAAGTGATGACAGTCAGCCCAGCTTCTGACCTTCTCTTGTCTTGTGCTTCTTCAAAATTGGCCTTGAATACGCTCGCGAATTTTCTCGATGAGAGGAAATTATTGTCGTTTCATTATTTGCGTCAAAAAATATGTCAGAGCTCTGCCCATCCACCATCCGCCTCGTCCCCCCCACTAACCAGCGCGAGTCCAAACATAATGATACTTGCACCCAGCCGCATTCCCAGTCCACGGTATAATTGTCCAATACCAGTGCTCCGCATCCAGCTCTGCTCCTCGCTGTCGGACGGAGGCGCCTGCTCGGTACCCGCCCGCTCCTTCCCCTTGCTCAACCGCCGTTTCCGCTTCTCCCTCGGGATTGGCAGGTCCGACCGTTCCTCGGTCAGAATGTGCCAGAACGCGTCAACGACGCCGTTGTACGGCGCGGGTCGCAGCTCGACGCATCCCTTGATAGGCTTGGCCGTCCCGCGGACTTGTACTTGCAGCCGCCGACGGACCGTCTCAAAGGGCAACGTAATAAGCAGGCCGAGACAGCTGCCCGCAAGTTCGGCGAAGCCCCACGCAATGGGGTTGGCATCCTCGCTGATCTGTGCGCCAACATAGGAAGCGAGCAGCCCGGGGAGAATGAAAGAGACGATTGGGGGAAGGGTGTTGTCGATGAGAGTGGGGATGAGGAGATGGGGGTGGAGATAGATGCCCTTCAGCCCACCCTCTTCGCGGAGAATGCGGGAGAGCGCGTCAAAGGGACCGGTGTAAGTGAGGTGGCGGGAGGAGAAGGATTGTACGATCAGTCGGGTTCGTACCAGATCAAGGGGCGAGAGAATAAAGCCCATTATGAGGTGGGACAGAACAGGGAGGAACATTGGAGGATGGTAAAAGACGGCGGTCGTCGGAAGGAGAAGAGCCTGGAGGAGACCACGGATCATGGGCTGAAAGGTTGATGAGAGGACTTCGGTTATGCAGGACGTTAATAACCCTGCATGCCAAAAGGTAGGTGAAAGCCCAGGAGAAGAAGAAGATCATTTTACCTTTCCACAGTGCCAGCCATCCTTCACCCCGGAAACGGCCTACCCGTCGCATCATGCCCCAGACACCATTCGCGCTGCCTACGGGGATGATATACTCCGGGCGAGTACCCTCCTCCAGTACTGAGCGACGGACGACATAGCCTTGCTCATCTGTCTGACGTAACGCGGAAAATCCGGCGTGCGGAGTGGCGCTAGGGTCGGCAAAGTACGAGTCCGAGTCGTTGTCGTTGGACGAGTCGCTCAACTGAGAAAACATGAGCAGCAGGAATAAATGTTGAGAAGGACACGGACGGCGTCATCGTCGTCTTCCGGCACTTCTGAAGGTTCAGGTTCGCCGGCATCTCGGGGAACCCATTGCACCTGGAGAAGTAATTTGGCGACCTCCCATGGCATCGCAATAGCAGTACTGGTGTACTGCAGAACGGCAGATGCCGCCAAGGTTTTGAGGAGGTTTATGGGGTCGATTCCATCTGACGGGTCGGCGAGCTCAGGTGAAAGGTCAAATATTGAGTTGTGGGATGGCCGAGAAGACCATTGGTATGCCGGTGCAGTGGCAGGCTGTGTGGAGGAATTTGAGGGTGTGGCGGCGGCAGACTGTACAAAGGACCAGGCGGAGGAGGGGTCACTGTACAGACCTCGAAGAGATGCAGAGGACATGATGCATTAGGACAAGCAGCGATGCTCTTGCCAATCAAAGAACAACTCCCGCTTTGGGATCGAGGAACGCTTTGGATTCAACAATTCAAAGTAGCAAAAGAGAAAATTGCGGGTCTGGTCTGCTCTGGCTCTGCGCACAAGGGAAGAGGGAGCAGGACGAGGGGATCGTGGAATTAATTAATTAATTAGCGGACAAGGTACTTATTGCGTGCCTGCAGATACGTCATTTATAGGGAACTATTTAAAGGCCACCCAGCCTCGCCCTTACCACCATCTCCTCCGCTAGCATGGCCTCCCCCAACGGTGGCGCTCAAAGCGAAGTCGACGCTATCATGCAGAACAACAACGGGCGCGTCGCCGTCCACACTTTCGACCCAGAGGCGAAACCCTCAGAAAAGGGTGCCGCAGCTGGCAAGGCCAGGGACCAGCTCAAAAGCGTGAAAAACGACTCGGGTCCTGGTGCACGAGGTGCCCTTTCACTTCTGCGTGTGTGTTTGACACGTCGCTCACGTCTTTTTCAGAGCTCACAGTCGAGTCTGGCACATCCAACGTCGTCCCCACTATCACCGTGGAAGACGTCGACAACGAAAAGACCACAGATGCTCCAGAAGACCACGACGACACTCCCCAGCCACCCGGTGCCCTCAGCGGTCCTGCAGGCGCCATTCCAGACTGGTACAAGGTCGGTTGGCGGCAGGCTTTACGCATGGATGCTGTGCCGCTGGCCGAGGGCGAGGACCAGGTGGAACCGGAACAGGACAAGGGTGTGCTCGACATGTTCCTGGGGGAGCAATTCTATGGTTCCTGGTACCACAATGCCGCCGTCATCATCGTCGTAGGTACACACGACTGCGCTGTCACCGCCCGACTCACACGTCCTTTAGGCTGTATTCGCTTCGCATTTCTTGACTCGCTTCCACTTCGGCTGGGGATGGCTGTTTATCGTCCTCGCCTTTTGCAATACATACTACAGCGCGTCGATGCAACGCGTCCGACGCTGTGCACGCGACGATATTCAGCGCGAACTCGTCAAAAACCGCCTCTTGTCTGAGCACGAGTCCGCCGATTGGATAAACAATTTCCTGGATCGTTTCTGGCTCATCTACGAGCCGGTCCTTTCTGCCACTATCATTTCATCTGTGGATCAAATCCTCAGCACCAACACCCCAGCTTTCCTTGATTCCCTTCGTTTGACTCAATTTACTCTCGGGACAAAGGCCCCGCGAATCGACAAAGTCCGGACGTTTCCCAAAACTCCCGACGACGAGATCGTAATGGAGTGGGGCATCTCCTTCACTCCAAATGATATCTCCGACCTCACACCGCGCCAAGCTGCAAATAAAGTCAACCCCAAGATTGTTCTGTCTGTGCGAGTGGGCAAAGGGCTGGCAACCGCTTCGATGCCTATCCTACTCGAAGATATCACCTTCAGCGGCCTCATGAGGATCCGTATGAAACTCATGTCCAACTTTCCCCATGTCCAAATCGTCGAGATTTGTTTCTTGGAAAAGCCCGTGATTGATTACGTCCTCAAACCTGTGGGCGGCGAGACTTTCGGGTTTGATATCGGCAATGTCTGTATCTACTTTTCATTCACCGGCCAATGTTTAACTGATTCCGAACCCAGATTCCCGGGCTGTCGTCCTTCATCCGCGAAATGACGCACGCTACGCTTGCGCCCTTGATGTATGAGCCCAATGTGTTCACCTTGAACCTGGAGCAGCTGCTTTCGGGCGCTCCTCTTGACACCGCCATTGGTGTCCTTCAAGTGACGGTAGAGTCTGCACGCGGATTGAAGGGTACCAAGATTGGTGGCGGAACCCCCGATCCATACATCTCTCTGAGCTTGAACAACCGCGAGGAGCTTGCGGTAACCAAGTACAAGAGCAATACGTATGTTTTTTTCTTGGACCCTCCACTTCTTTTTGCTCATTGTTGTATCAGTTATAACCCAACTTGGATGGAGACCAAGTTCATTCTCATCAACTCTCTAAATGAATCCCTCATCCTGAGTCTGTACGACTTCAACGACCACCGCAAGAACGCACTCATGAGCAGCACGAGCTTCGAGCTTGCTCAGTTGGAGCAGGACGCCACTCGCGAAGGTATCGAGGCCGCTCTACTCAAGGACGGCAAGGAGCGGGGCATTTTGAGATATGATGTCTCTTACTACCCTGTCATCAAGCCCGAAGAAGGCCAAGAGCTGCCTGATACCAGTAAGTGATTTTCTCAGTGGCCGACCAGCGGCGTCTTATCAATTCTTGCCAGGCGTTGGTATCGTGCGCTTGACAATCCACCAAGCGAAAGAGTTGGATCAAAGCAAGTCGCTCTCTGGCGACCTCAATCCTCTAGCCAGAGTCTACCTCGGCGACAGCAAGGACGCGGTATTTAGCACGAAACTCTTCAAGCATACCAACGCGCCCGTTTGGGAGCAGGCCTACGAGTTCCTGTGCGCCGACAAGACGTCGTCCGTCGTCACGGTCAAGGTCATCGATGACCGCGACTTCCTCAAGGACCCTGTGGTCGGTTACATGTCCATCAAGTTGCAGGACCTGTTGGACAGCAAGAAGGACTCTGCCAGTGGCCGTGATTGGTTCCCGCTGAGCAACTGCAAGAGCGGCAAGGTTCGACTGTCGGCCGAGTGGAAGCCCCTGAATATGGCAGGCAGCCTGCACGGCGCAGACCAGTACAAGCCGCCGATCGGAGTGGTGCGCCTCCATCTCAACAAGGCAACGGATGTGAAGTATGTGATTTCTGCGTCTCAACGCTACGCATTGTTTATCTGGCTTCAGGAACGTTGAAGCTACACTGGGCGGCAAGGTAAATCATTCCCGTTGTCGTTGCTTCTTCCTCATCCAAGGGTCCCGCAGAGCGATCCGTACATGCGGGTACAGGTCAACGATGTCACGAAAGGCAGAACAGAGGTCATC